AAACAAAATTTATGCATGCTTTTGTTTCAGCATTCTGTTCTTAAAGTATGTTAAGTTAGTTGCAATTTTAGCCTCTGTAATTGTTTCCAACTACTGTAGATAGGCCATTGGAATGATACTAGGTATTTATAAGACTAGTAAGTTCAGTATTTAAGAAAAACAGAGGAACTGGAATAACCGGAGGTGGAGCAGAAAGGCTGAAACGGAGCAAAATGGGGACGGAGGCTCTCAAAGGAGGTGAGAGCCGGCTCCATGGATGTAGGAGCCAGCTCCCACACTTAAAGAGCCAGCTCTAAGACTTATAGAGCCAGCTCCAGGCTCAAAAGAGCCTACTCTTTAAAACTTAGAGCAGGCTCTCTTCAATAATGAATGTTCTGTAAACTTTTCAAAGAACTGTTTGTTACTTTGGAGCATGGGAATGTTTCTGTTGATTCTGGGGTTTCACAGAAGGATTAGAAGGTTAATTTTGGGTGTTATTAAGACCTTGAATTAATTAAATTTGATAAGGCTCCTAAGTTCAGTAGAATTGTTGTTGAAAAATAGTTTTAGTTTTGTTCTTAACACATGTTAATTCGGTAGCGAATTTAATTTTTGTAGTTGATTTTAATTGTTGTTTTCAAATCATTGGGATGCTCTTTGGTATTAATAAGACCTTTAGGATCAGTTTTTGAAATCAATTGAATGGTGAAAAAAGGCCGGAGAAGAAGCAGAACGGTCAAAAACGGAGAAGTAACTGAACTGAGGCTCACAGGGGAAGAGAGACGGCTCCATAGAGGGAGGAGCCGCCTCCCCCATCAGTAGAGCCTGCTCTAGAGGAAGTAGAGCAGGCTCTACCTTTAAAAGAGGCTGCTCTACCTCCAAAAGAGCCTGCTCTTTTAGGATTATACCAGGCTCCCTTCATTTTGCACATTCAATTAATGTTTTTACAAACTTTTTGCTACTGTTTGGGCACTTGGGGTTCTTGAAAAAATTCTAGAACTTTAATGGGGGTTAAAATAATTAATTTAACATGTAATTAAGATCTTAAATTGCATAAACTACCCTCGTTGTAATAATGAAATTAACAGTGCGCTAATTAACAATTTTGCTTATGGTTAAAGGCTAGAAAGAAATAAATTGTTTAATTTTAATTTGAAAATTTAAGGTTTTATATATGTTTCTAAATTAAATTTTAGATGCGTGAGGGAGTCTTTTAATTAATAAATTGGACTCGTAGCATAGTTTGTGGCTGGGTGCTTAAACAACAAAACAATATACAAGTATGTAACCTAGCTTGCTATTGACGGATAAAAGGAACTGAATTGCTAGAATTAATTTTTAGCTAATTCTTGGATAATATCATGATTTTAAATCTTATTCGAATGCAAGATAGAATAATTGATTTATTAAAACTAATTTATTCATGCTTTGGATGCTTGTTGATGAACCGTTAAATAATATATGGTTTAACTCTTGGATTTAAATTGTTGAAATAATAAATATTCTTCTGCAATTGTTTGGAATGGTTTCGAATTGTAAATTACTAACATGTATTTATATGTTGTAATTTACATGGTTTTGGATTTTAAATTGCTGAAACTTAAAACACTTTTCTGCAAGGATATGGATATTTGGTTTTGGACTGTAAATTACGTGCTTAGTATTTATATGTTGTAATTTATATGGATATGGAGGATTGTATGCACCGGTATGGGACGGTGCATATTAGGTATGATTTAACTCAAAACGCTAATTCTTACCTTATGGATTTTAATTGGTGAACAGTTTTATCTGTTTTATCAATTATATGGATTTTGTGGATTGTATGCACCAGTATGGGACGATGTCATACTAGGGACAGACTGATTCAAAATACTCAATCCTACCTATTTTGGAATAAGGGTACGAATTATAAAAACATAATTCTCCTTATATTTAAGTCTGTACAGTTGAATAAGCTGAACGACTTACTGGATCTCTTATATAAGTCTGTGCAGCTGAATAAGCTGAATGACTTATTGGATTTCTTATGGATGGATATGAACGGATTTTAAATATATGGTTATGGTACCACGAGATGAGCTTGAGTCTCAGACTCGTCGGTTAGGGTGCGTATATGCAGTGAATGCGTAGCTGGCTATAGTAGGTTAAGGTGTACCCTGCTAGGTCTAGGTACTCATGCCCACCTTTGGATGCGTTTTCGCATGTTACCTTCTATTCAGGTTGAGACCCCTATTGTAGTTCAGTGAATGTCCCTTAGTGTGGATATATATATGTGTATGTATGGACTAGATAGCTATTGTTGAGATATCTAGGGTGTATCTGCGTATCGGGTCACTGTTTGGATTGCAGTTAGAGAAGAATTTGCATGTGGGCCACTCTTATTTTTACAGGTGTTCGTTAGTTCCAGTCTTAGAGCTGGATCGTGCTGAGCAGATACAGGCATTCACTCCACCGATGCTGTAGGATTTTGTTTCATGTTTTAAGCTTTGGTTTTTTTTCCAGTCATTTGAGTTCAATGGGATATTTTAGGGGTCCACTAGATGGATTCCCGAGTTGTATAATTTGGAGAAAGATTTGTATTCGTGAATGATCAGTTGTAACAGAATAGTTTTATTTATCAATAAAATTTTATTCTGAGGTTTCAGTTTTTGGATTATCATTGTAGTTTCTTTTCCGCAATTTATTTATTCCTGTTTTCTTAATTGTATTATGTGTTCATTAACTGCTAATTGATTTGATATCCTCGGGTAATCGGGCGTGGGCCTGGTCAACCCGCATCCAGAGATGCGGGGGTATCACAGTTCATTCAACATGTAGGTGGTTTCTACATATTGCCTAACAGTTGGGAGGATCTCATCAATTGGTGCTCTTCTACATGGATTTCAAGTCAATTTAATATCCATAAGCTCATTCTCAATGCTGCAATCTACTTCATATGGTTGGAGAGAAACTCGAGGGCCTTCAGGAACAGATCTTCATCTCCACAGCACATCATATGTCTTTTAAAAAGTTACATTAGAGCCAAGCTTGCTTCACTGAAGTTAAGAAGTGGTGTGGATCTTAGACTTTTGGGCAACCAAGAAGACTTGTTATAGTTATTCTTGCAAGAGTGTGCATTTATAGGTGGGCAGACTTGGTGCTCATCAAGTCTATTATGAATTCAGAGCATTACTTACACAAGCAATGCTAGTGGTTACGGCAGCAGAGGTTATAGTACTGTCCTTACAGAAATATCCAGGGTACTTTAGTTTTAAGTTTTGTGTATTTTACTTAGGCTAGACTCTTAATCATTGTTGTTGGGTTGTATATTGTTGGTCTGCCTTGGGCTTGTGGTGCCCCTTGCGGGCTCTCTGCTGTACATTCTTCTTTTTATTTATTAAAGCTTACCATTAAACCAACAAAAATACATGGTCAATCTTGTAATTTAGTCAGGCAAAGTCTCGAACATCCCAATTATTGAAAAAAAAAAAATTTACTTTTCTTAGGTGCGTTTAGTAACAATTTCATTTTCTATTTTTGCAGCCTCAAGAAAGTAGAAATATAATTTTATTTTCTTGAGTGACAATAAAAGCAAAAATGGTGTTTATTAACCTTTGTTGTCACAATTTTGAAAGCAAAAAACAATAACAGTGTTTAATAATACATATTTGTTACAGATGTACATAACATTTTTTTAACTTTTTTCAATAGTACAAAAAAACTTTAAATATGTATGCAATTCAATTATTTCACAAATATTAAAAATACCCAATACAGGATACTAAAATATAATATTCAATTTAAAATTACAAATTGTAATAAGACCTAATACATAAGTACAAAATAAGATATATTAGGACAAAAATACTAACAAATTATTTATATAAGTGCATGCATATGCATCATCTATACATTTATTATAAAATCTATAATATATTTAACATATATTATATTATAATAAATAAAAATATTAAATAATATAATATAGATATGGTATATAATAATATATTATATCTGTTGCATAATAATTTAATACTATTATATAAAATAAATAATAAATCATATTATTTTTTGTCCCTAAAAATAATTTACACTATTATATAATATATTATATTTTAAAATATATATTTTTTAAATAAAAAATAATTTACACTAATAATACAATATAATTATATATTAAAAATATAATTTTTATTAGTATTAAATATGTAGCATTAGTATATAACATGAATAACATAAATTTTATTTGAAATAAACAGTGTATACGTAATAATAATAATGAAAACGTTTTTGTTCAACAGTGTCAAAAACATAGAGAGTACTTGGGTTCTCCCGAGTACTAAAAAGTGAGAAACACCTTTTTTGGATATGTTCACTAACAGGAATGATTCATGTTTTCTACTGTTAATTCCTAAAAATGTAAAGTAAAAATAAAAATTATGTTTATTAATATAATTTTATTTTTTGTATTTTAGAAAGTACTTTAACATTTAATTAAAGAAAAAGAAAGTGAGGATTTGTTTGTAACGACCCGGACCCGGAGCCCGAACCGTTAACCGGGTCCTTACTTGAACCCGAGGTCCCTAAAGCAAACTCATCATTTCCTTGGATCAAAACATCATTGTTACACTTGGATTAAACCATTTGAAGGCTTCAAACAACACTCCGACTCTTAGGTTGGCAAATGTCGGAGAGAGGGTTGAAAGATGGACGAACAGCTTCATTTCGGTCGACCGAAGTGGAGCTTCGGTCGTCCGAAATGAGCCCCTTCACTTCGATAGTCCGAAGAGCTATTTCGGTCAACCGAAGCTAAGATCCTAAGAGTTACCCAATGGTTCGGTCGACCGAACCCCATTTCGATTAACCGAAATGACTTTGCCGAGCCTAAAACCTGCATTAAGGAGGCTGCACATGTGGAGCTATGAAAGGATTTGAACGGAAACTTTAAAATGATCCAAACTTGAAACAAACCATCAATTACGAGACATTCAGCAATCGTAAACTAATACGCCATCATTTAATCATCTTACAACATCACATACTACAATTTCACGGAGATAATCACTATGATTACATTAGTTTCATTCTTATGTTACAAGGCCATGACCGGTGACTTAATTACATTTCCAAGACAATAGATATACAAAAGTATAGCCTAAGTGCAAAATAGCAAAATGAAGGCTTCCAACACTCCGTCAGTTTTGTGGTGGATTGTCATCCGCCAACTCTTTGCCATAACCTGAAAAAAGATGTAAAATATATTGGGGTGAGCAAATTGCTCAGTAGAAGGCACTTAAGACATGCCTCTTGTGTCCTCGTGAATCCATACAAAGAATAGAGCAATAGGAATAGGGATCATACTAGGTCAGGATAATACAAGATAGCAACCAATCTCAACATAACCAAATGCAATGCATGTTAATGTCGCTCCCCATTTTCATTCCAAAACCATCATTTTCAAATGGTTAATATAACCCGCCCTTTAGTGACCCCGCAGCGACACGAGAGAAGGGTTGGCTAGTGTCCCTGACCCTTGGTACCCCCGCGGCGTCATTATGGGCTCAGCTAGCTCAACCATGCTAGGGCGACTCCCTAGTTCCCTCTATGCTATATTAACCCTCTGACCCTTTGGTACCCTCGTGGCGACCGGGTTTTCATAAAACCGTTTCATCAAAATATTTTTCCCAAAATTTCCTATTTTCATTTCAAAACAATTCTTCCCATTTCTTGCCCAATGTAAATGTATAGATGCATTAATATCATGTCAATGATCATCACTTCACAATTAGCTCAAGTTTGTTTACAAGGTAGTTCACAAGAATTTCAAAGGAATTTATCACATACTCGCATACATCAATAATCTAGCATTTTGAGCACACATAAATCAACACAAAAGTATGTTCATCAAATGGATCATTTAATACACATAGTCCCACAATTAACAAAATACATAACAACTAAACAATTTTCTAGGAACTACCCAAATTAAGCATGCTAATTAGCCATTTATGAAGAGTTAACTCACTAAAGCACAAGAACATCATGGATTAAGGACCCCTACCTCAATTTGTGCAAAACCCTCAAAATGGGTCTTCAATTTCGAAATCCCTATGGAGCACCAAAACTGAAATTGTCGGTACTAATGCGTAGAGCTCGTCATGCTCTCCGTATTGCCTCAAACGACACTCCAAATCACTAAGTATGGAAATGGAAATCAAAGATCAAAGCTTGAAAAACAAAAGGAAAGAAAAAGAAACTGAAAAGTGAGAGGAAGAGAAGGTTACGGGGAGAGAAAAAGAGTAAGTGAGAGAATGTGGTCTCTAGACCACTTTTGAGTTAGTGGTGGGTCCCACCACTTTTGATTTTTTTTTTTTTTTGATTTTTTTTTTTTTTTTTTTTGCTTAAATTTACACCACATACACATAAATGCACCCTATACCAAGACCACTTAATCCACCTAAATTAAAATGCTAATCCACCTAAATTAAAATGCACCAAATGCAATTGGACCCAACCACAATCCCGTACGAAAAATGTGAAAAGACAGAAATACCCTTGCACCAACGAAATTTCAGAAAATGAAAAAAAAAAAAAAAAAGAAGAAAATCGGAAACATCGCATTGTTACTTTCTATACTATTTATAGGAATTACTTTCTCTGCTATAGCACACTTAACATGTTTAGTAATATGTTTTATCGTTGAAGGCTAATTTGATCTTATTAGCTCAAAGATAGCTTTTCAACTAGATCGTTTTTGTTGGAACTGTAACTTAGGTTCATCAATTGGGTCTTCTGTAACTGAGGTTCATCAGTTAGGTCTTCGTGATGTAGACCAATGACCAAGCTTACCACTACTCCTCCTCTTATATATATATATAATTAAATATATACATTCACATACTCTGTACTCATCATAATCAAACCCAAATAAATAAATAAAATTAGAGAAAGAAAGATAAAATAAAATAAAATAAAATAAAAATAAAAGATAGCTGGGAAAACAAAATTAAAATTATTAAACTTACTTTCTGTTTTTTGTTTTCAAAATATTAAAAATAAAATCTTCTTATTAAACATCATTTTATTTTCTATTTCAGCTCAAGATATGAAAAGTAAATATAAGAAAGTGAAAGTGCTAGTGAACAGGCCCTTTTATGTTTCTTCCTTTCTTTACAAAAATAGAAAACATTTTCTGTTTTAGAAAAACAAAAACATATTACTAAACATGTTTTTTGTTTTTATTTTACTTTTTAAGGGGTTAACAACAGAAAACGTTTTCCGTTACTAAACGCAGCTAGTTGATCGTTAACAATTGTTTTAAGTTTTTTTCTTTCTTTCTACTTTATTTTTATTTTTATTTTTTGTTCTTCCAAGATTAAATTTTACCGTAAAAAAAAAAGTAGAAAAGTGGGTTTATAATAGGGCGAATGGCAAAAAAAAACCTTGACTTTCACCCGTTTGCTAAAAACACCCTTAATGAAGATTTTTAGCGAAAAATCTCCCTCAACTATCTTGAAGGGGTGACTTTAACTGAAGTCCGTTTAAATAATTTGCTGAGCCATTTTTTTTTGGATGAAATTGCCCCTTAACAGTAAAGGGCTTTTTTTTAATTATTTACTCTCTCGCCGCGTTAGCAAATTCTTCATATTGTTTTATTCATACAATAGTGTTTCAATTATATTATAATTGAATCATATATTTTTATGCAGGTGCGCTGTTGAATGTAGAGAGTGTTTCAATATTATAATTGAATTATATATACTATAATACTATATACGTGTGTGAAAATTAAATCAAATTTATTTTATTTACTTTTATCCTATCACTATGAAACCATATTATAAGTCAAGTTTATTTTATTTTTTATCCAATCATATCCATATGATAATTTTTCTCTAATATCATCTTAAATGTATGAAACCATATTATATGTTTATGTATAGAAAGATATTTTATACGAGCTTGCATAAAAGTTAAATGATTATAGTAATCCCACTAAAAGTAATAATTGTGTTGTCTTCTTCTCAAAATGGACAACCACCACCAAAAAAAACAAAACAAAACAAAACAAAAAAACAAAAAAAAACGAAACCTCAAAATTTAGGGTTTAAAACCCCAAACTGTAAATCGTCAAATTTCAGTCCAAACCTGCATGATCTTCGTATAGCTATTTATGCGAGTGAGTAAATTGCATGAGAAAAACGAATGATACTGAGAGTTGGTGGATGAATTAACTTGGTGTAAACAAACATATTCAATGCCAATTTTGGTTGATTCGCTTGGGATAAATCAGAGAGTCAATTCTATAACTTTTGTAAAGATTGAGTCCAAACATGAACAAATGGAAATAAAATTCGTTTTAGGCAGTCACCAAAAAAAATTAAGGAAGCGTGGGTAATTTGATAATAGTGTATGTTTACTAAACGGACGTCAGTTAAAGTCACCCCTCAGGATAGTTGAGGGGAATTTTTTACTAAAAATATTCATAAGGGGAATTTTTTTTGCAAACGGGTAAAAATCGAGGGGTTTTTTTTTTTGCAATTCGCCCTTTATAATATGATGATTAGATTACATCGAGCGACCACCATACAAGTGTGAAAAAAATTTCTTGCACAAGTGAGAAAAAAAATCATCTCTCATCATATATATATATATATATATATATATATATATATAAGGTTAAGAAGCCAAACCGGTCATGCTTAAATTTATATATGAGATCTGTTTGTTATATGCAGTTAAGGCCAAACAGTTTGAATGAACAACTATAGTGTATATAGATATTGCCATGTAAGAGAAGGAAAAGGACTTGTAACTTAAATCATGTTTAATTTAAAAAATGAGGAAGAAATGGAATAAAAAAGAGGGGAACGTATAAATGATAGTTTAACCTCGTTTAAGTATTATATATATATATTTTTCCCGATATGAGACCTATGGTTGATGAGGCATCTAGGACCAAGTCTTTTTAAAAAAGGCCAACTCATTGGACTTCGTTTGCTTAGATAGAATCAACTAAAAAAGAAAGGAAATAGAAAATTTTAAAACTTTTTACGTAGAAGTTTTGTTAGATAAAAAATGAAAAGTTATTGAAAATGAAGATTCCCTTACCTTCTATTTTTTCTCCAAAAATATTTCTGCACAAAACACAGGAAAATTTTATTTCCTCATGAAAGGAACATCTTTTTATTTTGTGTTTCTATGTACCCACCAACTTAGTTGACATTATTTTACCCAACACATTATTTTACTGAATAACCTTATCGCATTTTTTTCACTGGGTTTCAAAGAATTGCAGTCCAACAATAACTTTATCATTGATAGAGTTTTAATTAACTTAAGCTTTCATTTTCCATCATATATGAATGAAATAAATAATAGTTTGTAAGTTCTAAAATAATTGAAAATTCCATCATTTTTTTAATATACATGCTACTAATTACTTTTTTTATTATTATTTTACCATTTTTATAAAATAATAACAATTTAGGTATGTAAAATTTAACTTAACATTTTCCTACAATTTTCTTGAATAAATTTTCATCTTAATCAAATACAGAAAATCAATTTTTTTTTCATTTTTCATTTCTTTTTCATTCTTGTCAAACGATGCTTGGGATTTGTTCTTCATTCAAAATCCTTTCACTTATGAAATATGACAGAACTCTCAATGCTCTAATTTTCTTTTTTCTTTTAATTTTCTTAATTTCAAACTAATTACGAGATAAATTATGTTTCTTTTCTCTTTCCCCTCCATTCCTTTCCCACTTTTATAATTCGAAATATGTTCATTCAAAATTCTTTCTCTCCCCTTTTCTTTTTAATTGTTCACTCTCTATCTCTCTCGTTTTGAACTTTCAACCACATGATTATTTTTGTATAATTCAAAACGTAATTTAAATGAGTAATTCGAATCAATAAAAAAGTTGGTATTCTCTCACCCAAAAGTGTGACTAACATAAATTATAAGACCGACCTAAGTCGTTATTGAATAAGATAAATTTCATACTAGGCATACCTTATTCAACGGATGATATGTTGCAACCGTGAGTAACACAATTTTAACTCCCCCTATTAAAAAGGACCAAATGATCCTAAGTGACGATCCTATTACATACTCCCTCCGTTTTAAAATAAGTGTTATTGTTTTCTTTTTTGTTTATCCCAAAATAAGTGTACATTTTCCTTTTTCAAATAATATATTTCATATCTTTCCATATATATCCTTTGAATATAAAATTTTAAACTTGAATATTCAAAATTTAAAAGGACAAGTTAATAATTTTTTTGTTCCAAAATAAGTGTACATTTTCCTTTTTCAAATAATATATTTCATATATTTCCATATATGTTCTTTGAATTTAAATTTTCAAACTTAAATATTCAAAACTTAAAAAGGTAATTTAATAATTTTTCAGACAGCCATATCCACATGTCTCATTACTACTCGCCATAAATGACACTCTAATTGAGACGGAAGGAGTATATATTATTAGTAAAAATTATCGGAAACAGAATTAACAAACTAAAGAAGGTAAAGTGCATGTAAAACAAACAAGCCCAATACAGTCCTACAACGAAACAAACTCCCTTTGGAGTGCCTCATACAAATTAAATTGATCATATTTCAATCCGTAAAAAAAGATCAAGTTTGTTGTTAACATAATTTTCTTGTATTATTTTCATAGATCAGTTGAGTTGGTGAACCAAGAAAAAAAAAAATTAAAGATGGCAAATGAGATTGATCAGAGAGATGATGAAAGATCTGCAAAAATGAAAGAGCTCAACGATTGGCTTCCAATCACATCTAATAGGACTGCAAAGTGGTGGTTCTCCGCCTTCCACAATGTCACTGCCATGGTTGGTGCCGGTGTGCTCGGCCTCCCTTATGCCATGTCTCAGCTTGGATGGTATGCTATTTATATATATATATATATATATATATATATATATGTGTGTGTGTGTTAACATATAGATATAGTATAGGAAATAGGAAGTACAGATCAAGCAGCATCCTGTTGTACAGCATGAGACGATTGTGATCGTTCAACCTTTGATTTTTTTTTTTTTTTTTTTTTGGCACTGTCTCACTTTTCTCAACATGTTTCTATTGATTTTTAACGAATTTTGGTTAATTTATGAATATACAATAGGGATAAGGGATTTCATAGGGAAATTTAGAGTTCACGTGTTGTTATACCTTCACTATTGGTATGCGATCATAAAATATGTAAAAGTTATTTAAACAAACATGATCGAACAATTTGATATAAACCGCAATATTTGATATCATATTGTAAGTTCTAAGTTCATATGGGTTTTTTTTTTTTTTTTTTTTTTTTTTTTTTTTTTTTTTTTGTTGTTGTTGTTGTTGATATAAACCAATATTTGATATCATACTGTAATGATACTATTACGTAATTAATGGCTTATATTTAAAACCAGGAAAATTGTATGTAACTATGATTTTGAGCAATTTATTGAACTGGGTTATGGTGTAATAGTGTCTTAATAGTGTACTTTATAATTTGTACTTACACATACCTTTTTAATTTATTATTTTGAGAAATGTATACAAATATATTTTTAATTTATAATTTTGAGCAATTTATACACATACCTTCATACTTTATAATTTTATGTATTGAATACTTAGTAATTGGGGAGTTAGGGTATGTTTTTGGTGAGTTTAGAAGCTGAAATTTGTGAAAAGGGAAAATTGGACAAAAAAAAAAAGTGTTATTTTGAATAAATTTTGAGCAATTTATTGAATAGGATTTAATTATAAGTCCGTACACAATGTTTCAGGGGTCCTGGTGTGACTGTAATGATTTTGTCATGGATCATCACTCTATACACCCTGTGGCAAATGGTGGAGATGCATGAAATGGTGCCCGGAAAGCGGTTCGACAGGTACCATGAATTAGGGCAGCATGCATTTGGTGAGAAGCTAGGTCTATGGGTGGTGGTGCCACAACAGTTGACGGTGGAAATTGGTGTGAACATAGTGTACATGGTGACTGGCGGCAAATCGCTCAAGAAGTTCCATGACACAGTGTGCCCTAGCTGCCAACCCATCAGAACCACATACTTCATCCTCATCTTTGCCAGTGTTCACCTCGTTCTCTCTCATCTTCCCAGTTTCAACTCCATCACTGTTATCTCTGTTGCTGCTGCTGTCATGTCCTTGAGGTAATATTTTATTTGCTTCTTTTTGTTCACTTTTGCATGCTAATTAAATCTTGGGGATTATATAGGTTATGTTATTATCACTCATGTACATGTTGTTCGATAATCCGGGGTGTCCTTGCGTCGACTAATCTACAGGACGCGTGCAAGGCGCCCCGACACAGATCAAATCAAATGAGCTTGGTCCCTAAGGAATTATTTGCACTTCCTGAGACCTCACGAGGCATCAGGTCTCAAGTCTTTTTTAACTAGACCAACTCAAAATTTAGACACACATTTGTTTATATATGTTTGTGTGAATTTTATGGTAAACTCAAGTATATTCAATCTCTTAGGCTTCTTTGGATGTTTTACATTCAAGACAATATTAGCACAATTAGAGTACAAAATAAAATTCACGGTAATCCTATTGCGTGTAAGGTTGTGTAGATCTGACTCTCCTGATCTCACAATAGTAAGAGTCTCATACAGTTAGTTTACCCTTAAACCTAAATCTAGAATTATTGTATTTTTTTTTTATTTATTTCCTTAGGCTTGTTTGGATGTTTTTCTTTGGTCTATTAGCATTTTGCTTGTTTGCTTATGCTCATGGTTTGCTAGCTAGTTATATATATAGTTTTTTTTTTTATTTGATTTAATTTTATTTTGGCCTCTTTAATACATTTTACTTGCTAGGAAAGAAACAAAATCATGGTATAATTAATAATATCTAATGTTGGGTTATTGTGTTAATTAATCATCTTATATATGCTTGCATGACTTTTATTTACATGTAACTATGCATGGAGACCAAAATTACAGTACACTAGCTGTTCTCGATCACTATATCAAAATATAAATGTCATGGTAAACTCTTGTATATTAAATTATTGGTGTGCATGTTTTAGTCATCCTATATGTGTTTGTATAACCTATACATTAAACTATATAAAGCAGAATCACAGTACACTGTTCTCATTGTGTGAAATAAAATTCATTGTAAATTCAAGTATTATTATATCATGGGGTGCATGCTTAATTAATTTACTCATGCTATACATGCTTGTATACAAATGGCCTATACATATATATAAATATATAAGAATCATGCTATAGGTCAAGTGTGTGTCTATATATATATATATATTCTTTTTCCCAAATAAAATTTCATTAACTCAAGTATATATATAAAATCTACTCTTGAATTGCACTTGGCCTAAAAGGGCTTGTTTGTTGCATAAGGACTTGCTTATACATCTTTCTATTCAACACTACTTACCCAATTTACCTATATATATATAATATAATACAGGGCAAACTCAAGTATATATACTAAGTAAATTTCATTAACTCAAGTACATATATATATATATATATTTGAAAATAGAAAGGAAAAAAAAAAAGTGTGTGTTTGTGTGTGTATATATATATATATATTAAATCTACTCTCCAATGGAACTTGGCCTAAAAGGGTTCTTAGTTTCATAAGAGCATCTCCATCTCCAGTAGTCTGTTAAAATTCACGTTCTTTCATTGTTTTACAGTTATTCAACTATAGCTTGGGTAGCTTCCATCCACAGAGGGGTTCTACCAGATGTGCAGTACACCCCAAGGGCATCAACACAGGCAGGAAGAGTGTTCCAATTCTTGAGTGGCCTGGGAGACGTTGCGTTCGCCTTTGCCGGTCACAACGTGGTCTTGGAGATCCAGGCAACAATACCTTCCACACCCGAGAATCCATCCAAGAAGCCTATGTGGAAAGGCGTGGTGGTGGCGTACGTGGTGGTGGCCTTGTGTTACTGGCCAGTCAGTATGATTGGTTACTGGATATTTGGGAACAAAGTGGAGGACAATGTCCTCATTTCACTAGAGAAACCTGCTTGGCTTGTTGCAGCTGCTAACATGTTTGTTGTCATCCATGTCATTGGCAGCTACCAAGTATTTACCACCGTTCACTATTTTTAAGTCGTTTCGTTTGTTTATTCTCTCTTAATTTGCTTCGTGTTGTATATATACATATATATATATATATATATATATAGGTTTTTGCACAGCCAGTTTTCGACATGGTTGAATCTTTTCTGGTGCTGCAAATGAATTTCAAGCCGAGTAAAATGCTACGCTTTATAACGCGCACCATTTATGTTTGTAAGCACTTTAAAACTTAATTTTGCTTGATTGTGTGTTAGTTGTATCATTCTTGTGCAATTTCGTCAAGTATAAGTGTTGTTTTATTTGATAATCGAAATCACTTTTAATTACATTATTTTGTGGATTTTGTTTTTGGATATTGCAGTGTTCACAATGATCATTGGCATGACATTCCCTTTCTTTGGTGGCCTTCTAGGCTTCTTTGGAGGCTTTGCTTTTGCTCCAACATCATATTATGTAAGCTTAAACACTTCCTTTGTGTGTGTGTGTGTGTGTGTGTGAAACTATGAAGCATATACTAAGTCTTGAATGTAATCATTGTGTAGCTTCCTTGTATCATTTGGCTTGCCATCTACAAACCTAAAAGGTTTGGCCTTTCTTGGTTCGCAAATTGGGTATGTATACATGAAAATATTTTCATTGCTAGTTTTCATATATGCTCTTCTTCTTCACTATACTTCTTGTGTGTGTGTGTGTGTGTTTTTGTGGCTAAGCTTAAAAGCTTGTAACCTAATATTTGTTCTCACAATTACAGATATGCATCATACTTGGAGTCTTATTGACGGTTTTAGCACCTATCGGTGCGTTGAGGCAGATCATATTGCAAGCCAAGGAGTACCAGTTCTACTCTTGATCATCCTCACAAACATGAGGGACGTCCTTCCTTATATATATATAATATGTATAAATATAGCCTCTTTTTTTTCTTCTCTTTTTTTCCGAAGAAAAAGGCGTAGAAACGGAACGATTTGATTTTAGAAATCCTTGATTAATTTTATAATCTGTAGTGTTCTTAGTTTAATAAATTCTGCGAATGCCTATTTATCTATTTGCATAATTGCATTGCTTACTTTTCTGGCAAGCTATAAAATTTAGTTGCATGAAAGAAAAAGAAAAAAAAACATGACAATTTGTTATATTTAGCTTTTGAATGTATATATAAATTTAGAATTCAAGAAAAATAAAAGAAAATACATCAAGAATTCAATGGTATTTTTTTTTTTTTTTTCGGTAAGGATGAATAAATGAGGAGAAATAATTCACAAATGTAATTGGGGCATACCCAAGCCCTACATTAGAGGCCCAAGGCCACAACATCAGTTCAGGCCGAAAAAAGAGCCCAAATAGGCTTTAAGAGAAGAACAAAGACAAAATACAAAAATGAGTCGTCCAAACAAGCCCTTAAATTCAAAATAACGAACCCTAACCAGTACCAAACTGTAACAGAGTAGGGGCATGGTTATCAACAATTTGCAAGCTTCTGACTACTCTTGGGGAAATGATGGTGGGGGTTGGTTTTTCTCTTTTAGATGACAAATAAGATCGTCCTGAGTACTAAAAAGTGTATCATGCCAAATCTAACTAGGGTTCGCAGTGGTGGAGGAACTAGATCGAAAAAAAGATGGATTAAGATATCTAATGAATGGAATTGAGATCCTATATTTGGAGTTTCATTTTGTATACTATATGGATGATCCGATCGTTTTGTATATTATATGGATGATCCGATCAGCAAGGACTATGATTGCGAAAAATAATCAACTTAAATTCGGGACTACCATTCGAAATCTTAGTGAAACACTGATTTGTTATCTCGTGTCAGCTTTTTGTTCAACTTAGTTTCCACGTGCAAAATATAATGGGGCTTTTTTCTCCAAAATCATTAGCAGGCTGACACTAAATTAAATACGCAACACAACGTTTTTTCACAGAAATCAGTAGGGAATTTGAAAACTGTAGTCTAAAGCTGTTTTTATATGAAAACATTTTAGAAACAGTAAACAAGTATGAGCAGAACCATCTAAACAGACATAAAGATATTTTTAGTCCTAGTGATTAGGGATTTTTCTGATCAGTGTATGTATGAGAATTGATTTTGTGCCTACTTTGTTTTTTTGCTTTGTGTTGGTAAGTGATATAATCAATTAGGTTGGAAGAGATGATGAAGGAATCATTGAGGAGATTTAAGCCACTAGAAATAATGGAGTGTACAATACATATCATTTTCTAAACTTAAGAACAAGGGGCGGCAAAAAGAAGAAAAGAAAAGAAAAAAAGTTCCAAAAACCCTTCTGCTATACAAATAAGTTCGGGAAATCGGTTTAAGAATCATTTTCCTTCCTCCAAACTGTACCATTTTCTTAAAGAATAAGGAGGAAAAGAGCAAGAGACTAATTTTGCTAGCAATCAACCACTATTAGAGTAAATCCAAACTCAATTCAATACATTGTAGCATAAACCTGGGCCAAACAACAAGTGTATTTGAGTCATTGTAAAAGTAATCATCTCATACTAATGGAAGCAACAAAAAGGACAAGCACAGATAAAATTGATCAACATAGCCTGTTTAATATTAACTGCCAAAACCCTAGTATATCTAAACTGTACCTAGCTGCTACATACTGTCTCCCTGCAATTTTCAAGGAAGGCTCTATGCTACCTCAGTACATTTAAACTTTAAACCCTCAAGTTACAGATGGATTTCTTTCCATGCTGGAGCCGGTAAGTGGCATGGCGGTCCTACATCACCATCCCTCCATCAATGGTGAAAACCTGCAATAAGGCAGTAAACATATTTGAAGACTTCCTCTTAAACAGTAAAACTGTGGCTATTTTCCCAAATATTTAGAAGGGAAAATCAGATTATGTACCTGTCCGGTAATGTAATTAGCAGCAGGATTAAGTGCCAAGAATTCCACTAGTCCAGCAACTTCTTCGGGTTGACCATATCGCCCTGTTATTAAAATCTGAATGAGTGAGCACTCGCTACATTTGTAAAAGCGCTGATCCCAGAATCTATTTTAGTTTGATCCAAACAAATAAAGGAGAGTTCGCACTATCCAAGCTTGATCGTTCTCCAAGAGCCTTCAACAATAATGTTCAAGTCTTTGGAACTTCTAAATGCAATTCCAGTGAAATTTCCTATAATTCACCACCAAGCACTAGCTTGAGTGGTATCTCCTCCACCTCTTGGGGATGAGACAAATTGGGTGTGTATGTCTTACCTAGCAAAAATAAATAAAAATAATGCCTATAGTTCTGCATCCTCACCCAAGGGGATGGTCTGCAAGATTTTCTTTTCAATGTCCTCTCCAAGCTTGGCAGTCATATCGGATGCAATAAAACCTGGAGCCACAGCATTAACCTACGAAAACAGAAATCTTTAATATACTGCATTAAACCCTGGGGGTATGGCACTAACTTGTCAAAACATGCTCTAATTAAAAGATTGTTTTAATATGCATTAAGAATGTCTTAAGATTTGTCTTGCCTTTCGAAGGAACAAGCACCAAGCCAAAACACTTACATTTATATTCCTGCTTGCATATTCCTTTGCCACACTCTTAGTAAGGCCAATAACTCCTGCTTTGGCTGCACTGTAATTTGCTTGCCCAACATTGCCAACCAAACCAACGACTGACGCAATATTGATAATTTTTCCCTGCAATACTGAGAGTAGCCTGAGAGGATATAGAAGCAAAGGAATATTTAAAATTTAAACAAAAATCCAATTGGAGGTTTTAAAAATCTGAACTTGGTCAACTGTAAATATAGAAGGATTGATGATTAATCTTTGAGTAATGCTACAATGCCCAATCGGTTTTTGTGCGACTCCAATAGATAGAGTCCAACACTGTGTTAGGTAATAGATAAGATACACTCGGTCACCCTTTAAAGTGTTTCTATCAATGATTGTCACATCAGTGGCAACAAAAACCAATTGACAAGTTTATCCTTTTCCTTTATCTTTATAAGATACACTCACTAGGAAGCACGGATACTCCAAAATGGACGAAGAATCCGTGTTCGACACGTGTTGGACACGGACACGCATCGGACACGCCCCGACACGTGTCGGACACGCCAAAAAATGTGTCTGGAATTTTTTATTTTTTTTTTATTTTCGGACACGGCACGGACACTCCGCGGACATGGCGTAGACACTCCGTGGACACAGACATGGCATGGACACTTATGGAATTTTTTTTTTTTTTTTTTTTTAAATGCTGATATGTTCTATTTTTTGTTTTGTACTACCCTTTTGGTATTGTAAATGGTACAAGTCCTAGGTCAAATGATGGATGGGAATAGATGATAGTACACTGACTTGTTTTTGTATCTTTTTTGAGGACTAGCCTTCAGGTTTTTGTGAATGTTAAGTGCTAACAGTAAAGTCCTGAATGTTAAACATTCATGAATGTTAATAGTCCTTTCTGTCTATGCTTTTGTATTTGGAGTAAAGTTGTAATGATGATTAAATGATACTAATTATTATTCTATGTCTTGTTTTTTATTTGGTTTTATAACTCTGCAACATTGTTTTTTTATTGTTTATTAATTATGAGTTATGATTTGTGGTTTTTTTTCATTGTGAAGTTGATGAAAAATAGTAACACTCAGTAATTTTTAAAGTACTACATCATATATATATATATATATATATATATATATATATATATATATATATACAATATTCACCGTGTCCCCCCATGTACGTGTCCTAATTTTTTTGGATTTGCCGTGTCGCCGTGTCGGCGTCGTGTCGTATCCGTGTCCATGCTTCTTAGCACTCGGTCACCCGTTAAAGTGGTTTCTATTAATGATTGTCACATCAGTGGCAACAAAAACCGGTTGATAAGTTTATCTTTTTCCTTAATCTTTATAATGTTTGGTAGGGATATTTCATCTTTCCAATATTAGCCTAAGTCTCAGAGATGCTTCTCTTTGAGGCACCAACCTACCACTGTACTCCATCTAGTTCATGTAAGTTGAGGCTGAAAGTTCATCTATAACATGAAGATGACAAACGGCAGCCCAAATTTTCTTCTAAAGAACCGTTTTGAGCAATAACTGACAAAAGAGCAGTCATGAGAAAGAGAATTGTGGGTAGGGAGGGAGAGGGGGAACAACCATGGGTAACCCCTTAAGGTTTGTGAAGGCACTGACCCTGTTGTAGATTCAAACAGATCTATCAGGCTTCCCATTTACATTGCCATGCAGAATTCACCAACGATGGGGCAATCTTTTTAGATGAATCTTCTAGGAAGTATGACACACACTCCTCTAGGAGGTGTCATGGCGGTGTAGGACACATGTCAAACACGGACACTCATCGAACATGCCCAGACACATGTCGGACAGCTAGAAGAGTCCTGAAATTTGAATATATATATATATATATATATATATTTCTGGTTAAACACAGTGGGGATGCGTTAAAGATACGTTGGAGACACTTTCAGGACATGGAAGGGTAGCTTTTCAATTATTACTATTAAAAAAAAAAAAAAAAAAAAAAAAGGTTCTAATGCAATTTTATAACTTATCATGGGTTAATAGTAAAGCAACATTTTTTTTTATAACTGGGTTAATGGTAAAACAACATAAAGTTCTGTAGAAACAAAAACAACACTCATCCAACTTTATGTTCCAAATTTGTGATTACAATCAAAATAATTTGGATAAAATGAACAAAAATCAAAATTTCCTATATATAATTATATTATATTTTTATTTTATGGTCGTATCCCTGTCTCTGTCCTATTTTTATTAGATCTGCCATATTGCCATGTCCATACTGTTTTGCGCCTGTATTCTGTGTCCATACAGTGCTGCATAAATCATCTTTTCTAGATTCAGGTTATAGAACTCATCACAAATACATCCAACAAAATGACATCTAATTGAATGACAAGTCCAACTCAGTTACACTTCAAGAATATTGGGTGTATAATCGGTAAAATAATCAACATCAGCAATATAATCCAACATAAGGAGAGTTCCAATACAGAAGCATGCGAATAGCACAGACTGGGTAACTCAACTTGGGAGGCAATGGCAAGGGGAAGCATTGATTGAGATGTGAAAGTTAGTCAAATACCAATTCAAGTGGAGATTTTTTATAGAGTTTTTAAGCTGTTTCAAATTTTAAAAAGTGGCTTACAAAGCCTGATAGAGCATGTGATAAATAAAATGGGTGTAAAATATACTATAGGGTATTTCCATAACAAAAATGATGATTTACCTATTCAACCAGATCATTCTCATGTTAAAAGCTTACAGTGAGTTTTCAACACTCCAACCCCGAAATTGAAGCAATATAAGAAGGCTCAGAATTAAAGAACCATGTAAACCAAATTAGAAAAATGTCAGATGGGTAAGGGCTGAAGGTGAGAGCATAATCATAAATTATAAATACCATGAAGCTGTAATTTATGATGAATTTAGTAAAGAATCATGTAAACCAAATTAGAAAAATGTCAGATGGGTAAGGGCTGAAGGTGAGAGCATAATCATGAAATATAAATAAGATGAAGCTGGAATTTATGATGAATTTAGAATCTATGGCTCTAAAGTACAAAATTCATGTCACTCTGAATGTACACAATCAGTATCCACAACTTCAATTGTAAGATTCTATAATGCCCAAACAGTTATCAGTATTTCTTTAAGTTTCCTTTTTTGTATTAGTTTGGTTTTCACAATCATTTCTAGTTATCCAATGCAAAAAAACTAACTAATAGGAATCAGCTAATAGAACTCTTTTTAATATATATATATATATTTACCACCAGCTGGTGTCATTTTATAACCAATACCACAGGTCACCAAATATTCTCTTACGGCAGGATCCATGTTCTTTTGACCAGCACTGTGATTTACGAGTACCATAAGTTGTTTTCATTGCACATCACCAAGTAAAAATTCCATATGAAAATGTTTGATATCTGTTGATTCAATTTTACTTCCGTAAATTATAAGTTTTAATTTATAAATGTGATGACCATCCATAACAAACTCAAGGATATATTATAAATGTATATGAACTATAATATACACCAATATTATATAGGAGATAATATTCACACTCTATTTTTCTCCACTTGCAATCCACTTACTTTTTTAAAATTGAGAAAAAAAAAAAGAAAAAAAAATGACATGATTGCCCTTAAAAAGTATACCCACTCCACAATTATTACAAAAATTACTCTTCCACTTGTCCTTCAAAAATACAACCACACTCCATAAGACTACAAAAAAGTACCCTCACAGTTCACTTTTGGGAAGTAATGTTGTCGTTTCACGTAATAAAATAATCAAAGTGGAGTACAATGAATAAAAGTGGAGTATGAATATCATGTTCTATGTTTATCAAACTTTCATTTGTTGCCAAAAGAGAGTATATTGACAAAATGCTTCAGTTGTGATTAGGGTGTGGAATGGATATTAGTATAGTAACTTGTGTGAGAGATGATATGGTGAATTTACCTTTTTCTTTTTCATCATAACCTTGGTTGCAGCCTGAAACAAGAACAACAATCATGGTTACACAAATCGGAAATCTCAAAGTTAACTCCTACAAATGCTAATTGATTGGATCATACATTGTACAGACCTGTGTGCAAAGAAACACTCCAGTAAGATTCAAATCAATAACCTCCTGCCATTGGGACTTTTTCATTCTCATCAATAAACCATCCCGTGTGATTCCTAAAACCATTGTGAAAAAGTTAGTGGAAGGTAGCACAAGAGTCCAATGATAAACATCATAAGTGCTACTAACCTGCATTATTTACCAATATATCAATAGTTCCCCATTGATCAATCACCTGCAGGTACGGGAACCAGATTAGCCATATTGCAAGAATCAAATGTAATAAAATCAACAATTAATTTCTATCATCACAAGAAAATTTAGCTCACCGTTTTAATCATTGATTCCGCGCCATCTTCTTTTGAAACATCACCCCCGAACGTAAGAGCTTGGCCGCCACAAGCCTCAATCTACAAAATGAATTGAATAGGTTTATATATTGTAGCCAACATGACTAAATGAAAGTGGCTCTGAAAAAAGAATATGATATATCATAAACACATGCATAAAAGCAACATCTATAAGCACATTCTGACATAAATAGAATGATGTAGAGCGAAGTTTCACTGATTAAGATTTTTTATCAGGATTTTTGGACAAACTTTAATAATATGTTGATAGACTACCAATTGAGCCAAAGCTTAAGTGGTTAAGATCCTCACGTGGAACTCCGTCTTGCACAGAGGGGCAAGCAAAAAGACCAAATGAAGGAAAGCACAAAGAGGGAAACAGAAAGGGGAACAAAAGCAAATGAGGAAACTTTAACTTACAACCTCCTAGAATAAGGCTCTGATACCAAGTTAAATTATTGATTGCCCTCAAATCTCTAACTGTCAAGGAATGAACCCAACAATGTATATTAAGCTGCAATATCTATTAGGTATGAGGGATTAAAAATAGAATGAAGGGAAGGCAGGAGAGAGAGAATATATCCCAAGGAAAAGGAAAAGGTCTTCTCCTCCTTTGTATGGTGGAGTAGGAAGGAAAGGAGGGAAAGAAAGTGGTGTTTCATTATTTTATCAATATACCCTATTAAAGGGTAAAAAATGTGAGAAAAGGGAGTCTTTATTCTTCCCTTCCCTTCCACTTTTGGGTGAGGCCTTCCTTGCTCTCTTCCCTTGCCTTCACTTTTTTCTCAGACCAAACAATTGAAAGAATATCCATTCCTCCCTTTCCTCCCTCTCTCTATTCCCTCCTACCAGACGGAGTATAAAATATAATCAAAGCGCTGCGATCACTTTCCGGAGATCAACATGCAGACTAAAACTTTGATGCAATTAATCCTTAAAACTAGTTGAAAAACTCCCCAAACTGATTTGCTTCAGTAAGTACCATAAAATATCCAGGATCCGGTGTGCATTGGATATGCCCCAACTCTTGTATTAGATGGAACCAAAATACAAATCCCTCCAAAATTATCAACTCGCTCTTTTTTCTGAAAAATATGAGGAACTGTGAGGTGCAAGGAGCAACAACGTTGGAATTTAACAATAAAAGTTCTGATTTGTTAGAAAGTCACATGAGATTTGATCTAAGATATCTGAAAATCCTAAGGACAAATTGTAATTTCAGTTTGACTGCAAGAGAGAAGACATTCACATGAGGCAGGGGTTTCTGGTGAGGTTCCAAAAAAGGTTAGATGTGGGTATTTGGAATGTTAATGAGAATGTCAAAATTCTTTCAACAAGATTGCAAGAGAAATTCCCCCCAGGACGTAGCGGCGATGGATAGGACGTGGGCCAAAATTCCCAGAGATCCTCACATTGAAAACCGCGAGTCTTGACTTAAATTGGTGTGCTTGGCATGGGGCCACCTTGCACACCCTGGGTTTACCTTGCAGCCACAAGTCCAAAGGGCTGGTGGTTGGAAGGGTTCCACCCCATAAAAAAATAATAATAAATAAATAAATTGCAAGAGAAAGGGTATTGACAGATTTTCAAGATGATAGTCCAATCCCATAGGATCTAGTCTGTATCTGAAAAGTTTAAGGTAGAAGGAAAAAATCTTTTAGTAATACACATTTGGTGAGAACAGGATCTTGGTGTGGTTTTAAGAACATAGTTCCAACTCATCATTTCAAGTTAGAGAAGCTCAGAAGCCCTTTAACAATCTGGATGTGTCAGCAAAAAAGATTGTTTCTAAGTGTCTTTAAGAGGTTGAGAACAAATTATTCAAAGATAATAACAAAAAGTCTTATTGTTAGTAGGAATAAGTCCGATATCCATGAATGAAAGGCATTCAGTGCTTGGCCTTCTGCAGATCTTCTTCTGTAGTAAAATGCATGTAGTGGACTTGATCCATTGACAAGGCAGAAAAACTTTACTATGTATATCAATTATCCTTGAGTCAGAAAAATGTTGTCCATTCTGGCTGAATAAAAACTTCCTTCATTTTAAAATATTAAGAATGAAAATTACTTCCTTCTTTCCTTATGCATCCATTTTCCACAAATTTGTATTTATTTAAATACAGATGGTCATATATTTCTAGAATAATAATACTTCAATTAAAAGAATATCTTAGCTGAAGATTAGAGACTCAAGAAGATCGTTGCATATGCATTGGGAATATATCCAAAAACCAATATGCATTTACTGGAAAAAAAAAAAAAAAAAGAGACCATTATACTGAAAAATAGTGGGCAAATTAACTGTCTACTGCAGGGGGTGAAAACAGTTGAAGTCTCTGCAGTTCAACACATAATACTGTTAAATACTTTGTGTAATAATTTACAAGATGGCAAAGCACACCTGTTTGCAAACTTCTTCAGCCTCCTTTGATGACCTAGCATAGTTTACAAGAACCTGTAAAAGCACAGGGAGCCCCACAAATATCAAGGCTGAGCTTGAAGATTACATAGGATATTTCACATCTAGGACATGTATATATGCAAAACTATAACAAGATTGAGAAATACAGCAATATCTATTTCTGATGCATAACAAAATGATATATTTAAAAGAAGAGACAAGGCAAACACAGAACATAAATGATTGCTTTTATCCATTACTCACCAAAACAGTTTGCAGCATAACTTGGTATAATATAACAAAATGCCTCATTTTCCCATATAATGTGGAGGTAACCAGGTAGAATCATTATAAGAATAAGTTTCACAGATCAGCAATGAAATAACTGTGCTCGCTATATACAGATGCATAACATCAAATTATAGTATTCTAATGTCAGAGCTTTGTAAGGATCTGCCTGTGTTCAATGAATACCCATAAAAAGTTAATAATTAACAAAATGGCTTATGTTACAAATTTGGTGTGGCAGTAGAAAATTTCTTATGTATCCATTCACTAGGCCTAAAAAAGAAGAATACATTTTAACTGGATCATGTCTATAACTTGACCTTTTATAATGGATTTCAATCTTTACTAAGTCCCGAACCATAAGAAACAAGGAGAACAACACAGTTGGTTCCTCAAAACCTCCATATATTTGTAGATTGTACGACCGAAAAGGCTCAGATTTCCTTGCTGCATAAAACTACCATAGAGATCTCAATGTTTTGATAAAGTGAACAAATGACATCCTGAAGCTCTAACTGGAAAAGCTTAAAATGCATCTATTTAGCAAGGATGATAAAGTACTAATTGGTTTAAGTATTCACCTAATGACCACATGGAAGAATGAGCTGCCCCAACCATTAAAAGGAAAACCCAGCCAACTCTAACAACCCTATTTGGGCAAGTATGTCCCAAAGTCATCTAAATGCCCTTGTGAAGGCCATCAACAATATATCATTGCCAGTAACAAGTACATTTATCTAACACATGTTTTCTCTTTTCTATTTCTTTTTAAATAAAAAAGAGTAAAATTACCAAAGTCATCGCTAAATTCAAATGCCCCCACCTAAACTAGCTAACCAAAAACAACACATTGGCAAAACAAAAGTATAAGAGTGAATATTTGTCATCGATTGTTTGAGTGCAATTGAGTAGAGAGTAGAATTCACTGACTTTACATCCAGCTTTCCCCAAAGTTAATGCAATTGCCCTGCCAATTCCTCTAGAAGCTCCAGTGACAACAACAACAGGGGCTTCAACATTCTGAGCAGCGTCAACACCTGCTTGTTCAACGGCTGCAACCTGAGCCCTCACACCTGTATATGCCATTTTTCTTAATTAATTCACGCAATCTCCTAAGTATGATCATACACAAACATATATACATATAAGGTACATAGATGCTTTATCCCCACTATCATTTTATGATTTCTCAGATCAATATCCCATAGTGGAAGTTGGTCAATACAGTCAGACACCACAATGAACTAAAATTTCCAAGGGATGTAACTTTCTCAGTTCATGGGTGTCTTCATTGAGACACGAACCTCATTTTCAAGACATTAATCAATTCCCACAAAATTACAGCTAAAAGTAGATCACTTTAAAATTGATTATAAGAACTTTGAAGAAGCAAATTATCTAGTGATGCATTTTCATAGACAATTCAGATTATCTAGTGTTGCATTTTCATAGACAATTCAGATTCAATAAACAAGTGAACTGAAACAACAAGCAAGATTAAGTTCATCTACATATATATGCATAGAGACAAAAACACACACACATGTCTATTAATAGTATATGGATGTAGAAAATACCGGAAGAAGCAGAGGAAGAGGACCATCGGCATTGCAAGGCAGGGTTTGATTGGATAGGGGAGTGAACACCAAAAGAAACCAAAGATGGACGGTGGATATGAGAGATTTGTCGACAAAGTGGTCCGCCGGAAAATGCGATTCTCGCCGGAGATGCGACTGAATTGAAAGCCACAGCAGCTGATGAAGCCATTGAAGTACTCCGAACTTTGAAAGCTAAAGAAGATGAAAAGAGGGAACGGAGAAAGGTCGCCAGATAATTTTATATATATATATATATATATAGAGAGAGAGAGAGAGAGAGAGAGAGAGAGGTTGTTTTTGTTCCCCGACGATGAAACCCCAAAGTAGGGTCGGATCTGGTGATTTTGGTGGAAAGGATCGAAGGTAGCACTCGACTTCACTGTCCCTCGTTTGGGTGAAAAGAAAACTACTTTTTTTTTTTTTTTCTTTTTTCAAAAAATAAGATAACTTTTTTATTACTATTATTTTGGGTTCAGTTAAAGTATATAATTTTGAGTTTTATTTTTCGCATTCTCATATTAATTTCTAGGATGGTCTTAAATTAGGGGTATAAAAGACACTATCATTGATCTAATCATCTAACAAGACCTTATCAGGTCATTAAACCTCAAAATGTAGCCATCAGTATAAGCAAAACCTTGACACTACGCCAAGTCATCAAACCTCAAGGGCATAGCCCTCTAACCGGAACAAAACTTCAGCATTTTGCTAGGTTATTAAATCACATAACACATTCCCTGGTGACCTAATCTAAACAAAACCCTAATAGCATCTTAGGCCAATTTTGTGCACTCACAATTTTGTTTTGAGACACTTAAAAGGTTTTTGGATTAAAGGATGAGAAATCAAAGCTTGTTTAGCTTTACTTATATGCGGACGGAACCCTTAGCTTTAATCTTTGGGTCCCTCGTATATATATATAAATGAATTGTTTGCTAATTAAAATAAAGTAAGAGGCTATGTCTAATGGATCTTGTATCAATTTTAATTATTTAGTCTCATAAATAATATGTCTCAATTCTAGTTTTGAATTAAAAATTTATGTAGGAAAAAGAAAATTAAAAATGTATGTGATACAATTAATTTTTATTGAGTAATGATAGAGGAATCGAAAAGAAATCCCGAATTAACACCGAATTTGATGTGGTTGGTTATACTTATTACGTGTTAAATAATTATTTTTTAAAAACTATTTAAGTAGATGAGGTGAACAAAAAAAAATTATATTAGGGACTTATTCAAGAAAATCATTCGGTGACTTATCATTTTCCATTTTTATTTCATGTGTATACACAAAATATAATCCATAAAGACTACTAATTTTGTAACACTTTTCACTTTCAGAACGGATTAAAAGTTTCCATTTTTCCACAAAAGTGGCCAAGTCTCTTAACACGTTTTATATGGAAAGGACTAAGGAGGCAGCCAATCAAGGCTTAATATTAAATTCTCTCTTATATTTCAATAATTATAAAAGTGTCCCCACTCAAAATCTCAAATAAAAAAATTAATATCTCCACTTGACTTTCATACATTTATTTATGAGTAATACTACTGTCTTTCTTATGAAATTTTTTTTTTTTTTCTTTCATGATTATATACAAATATTGAGGCATGGACTTAACCACTTGAAAGAGGACTAAATAAGGATTGTATACTTAAATTTTTGTTCAAAACTCATTAACAATAAGTCACAAAAGTCGGTCAAAATTTACATTCTTTTTCTTGTCTAAATTACATTATTAACTTTGGCCGACTGATGTGATCTATGGTTAATGAATTTTTTAATGAAATTTTAACTCTATAATTCTCGTTTAGTCATCATAAAGTAGTTGAGTTCTTACCTCAATATTTATATACAACCATGACAAAAAAGAGAACCCGTGACCTCATAGTAGCATTACTCTTTATTTAATTTATTGTACATTAGGAAGCATGCCACCACACTCCAACAATCTTTATCATTAAAACAGTTTTTTTTATTTTTTTTGGGTAAATAATTTTTCTATAGATTAGTCTTCAACCATTACTTTTGCATAATTCTGTCCACAAATTAGCATTGTTCTTGCATCCCCTGAACTTGACAAGAAAATGTCCAATTCCAATTTTTTTTTTTTTTTTTTTTTAATGATGTTGAAAACATCGTCTTGTAGACAGAATCTAAACTTAGATTAGTTCTGATACCGTCTGATTTCATAAATGAAAAGAGACAACACAAAAAAAAAGAATTGTAGGAGTAAAAAGTCCCAAGTCAATGACGAATCTATTGCTCTACTTAGAATAGCTAATTTCTAAAGAAAAAAGGATGAAAAAAAATCCTAAGATTCGTCGGATGAGGATTACAATTTCTTTCAAACAGAAGAAGAAGAAGATTTAAGATTTCCATGCACCTTTGCTTTTAATTTGTGTTTACAAGCACCCAATACACCAAGATTTTGACAGACACAAGGTGCATGCAAAGAGGCTGCTCAAAACTCATTATGTCAATTTCTAGTTGGCATTGGTGGTTGATCTGGTGACTCCTTAAAAATATGAACTTTCTTTTCAAACCAAAAGTAAAATCCCGATTGATACACCCTCTCTCCCTCTCTCTCTCCCCCAGCAAAAGGCCACACAGTTTTTTGTTTTATGTAGAAAGTAGTGCTTACACTCCAACTTTCATAGTCAGCTCCAACCCCAAGTTCATAGCCAAACCATAAATTCCAAATAACTCAAAAACCAGGCCAAAAAAGGCGCTGACTAGCCTTCCCACCCGGCATATCCCATCTTCTTCTTTTAAAGCTTAAGGTTTGCTGTGGCACAACACAAGTTAACACTGTGTGCCCCACAGCACCAAAACCAGAAGGAAAGTAAGGGAAAAACCACATGGTCAATCTTGCTCCTCGAGGGTGAAAAGGTTCAAGGAAGAAAACCGGATCAATCAATTTCTCCTTCCTCCGCATCTGCATCATTCACTGCATCTGGAACACTCTGGGGCACAACTTCTTCCTCCTCTTCATCATCCATCTTCATGTATAATCCAAGCTGCTCTAATGGATTACTACTTCCCTGGAGTTTAAAACTACCCAGAAGATTTTGAGAATGATCTGGGCTTGTCTCATCTACAAAGTTCTGTGAATGTTCGTCGGGAGCAGCTCTAAGCATTTCTAGATCCTCCAGAAAGTGACAATTCTCATTAATATCAACCGTCTTTTCCATCTGAGCAGGGGGTAAAAGAAAGTTATATTTGAGAGCTATGAAGAGATTTACATTTGGCTTCTGATGCATTAAAATGAGTCTATACCTGTTGCAAAGCCTTGCGTGCTGCTTCTCTCTCGAGCTCTCTCTTCCTTTTGGCTTCAGCTGCAGCTTCTTCATCAGCTTTCCTACGAGCTTCTTCTGCTGCCTTGGCTTCTGCTTGTAACCGAGCTTTCTCTGAAAACACCGGAAAGGCAAAAACATTACATGGACGGGCTAAAAACAAAATTGATCAGACTCAATTTCACATACCAATAAATATGCAAAAGAGTATAATTTCATGGGTAAGGTACAAATTCAAACCTTCTTTTCTCCTCCTTTCAAGCTCCTCTCTCTCAAGACGCAGTTTCTCTGGATCCTGCTTTTCACCCTGAATTCAACATATCACATGTATAATAATCAAATCCCCCATACTACGCACCAGAAATTGGACCATAATGTGTCACAAGTACCCTTAAATTGTAACCAACCTTCTGAAGGGTCTTCTCTCGAGCTTTGAGTATGGTGTCTGCAAAACGGTTTCTCAATAATGCTGCACGGTAAAGCTTTTCTGGGGAGACTTGCCTCTCGGATGGAGCACTCTCCCCTAAAATGTTATATAGCATGATGGGTAAGATGACGCTGCAAAACCAACAGCACACAGTTTCTTCATGATTTTCATTGCTTACCCTCTTGACGGCCATCGGCCTCATCAGCAAGTGACTTAGACTCACAATTCTGCTCGGCTTGGCTTGACCCATTTAGCAGATCTGTAAATGTCACAGGATAGAATAATTTCAGGAAAGAGTGACTTAAAAAAGAAAAGGCTCTTACCTAGAAAAACCAAAATTTCACATAACCAAATAACTGTTTACCTATGTCTGGATCACTAAGATTACTCGTCTTCTCCTTTAAATTTGCTCCAGAACCCATGGTCTCCTACCATAGGGAAAAAAACAGGAATAATGTTAAGTATTCGGCTCTAATCAAACCCATACACATTGTCAGAGCCAAAAACCGTGAATATTTAACCTGCAATGTAACCCCCCTAACAAACACACAATAAATATAATAATATTTCAATACCATGATATACCTTAGCAGTACTCACAGGAACTGCAGCCTTGGCACCATCAGATTCAGTGCCAGACGAACTTCCCGAATCTGAATCTGAACAAAAAGAGTCCAAATGAGATCTAAAGAATTTTTTTGTATGTATCTATATATGTGTTAACAAATTCGAAGTTTAAATTAGTGCTATCCAAAAGAATAGCCCATTCTTTAGGAATTTAATACAAGCATTCATCTCTTCCACCTCTCCACCCAACCAAAAAACACAAAGAATGCTTGGCATAATTAAGAACACAAGTTATTGCAATAAAACAAAGCTTTTGTACTTGAATTACAATTCCAGTCAAGCCAAATGAAATTATATGAATGAAATCATACAAAACGCAATACATTTTCCACCAAGGGCAAATAATACAGAAAATTAGCTCATCCCAAAGCTTAACATAAGTATCCCAGTTAAGCTATTAGCAGAACAAAGAGATTAAGACATAAACGGAAGTCAAATGCTAAAAGTTCCCCCCACACCAAAAAAAAAAAAAGGCGAGAGAGAACATAAAATGGACAAAGTGAGAACTCTTAAGGTACACACACGCGTGCAAACAGTCCCAATCTAACAAATACATCAGATATCCAGCTTCCTTTATAGACAATTCCCTGCGACTTAATAAATTTAACTTTGACAAATTTCAAAGTACATCATATGTTTCAGCATTTTGAGAATTTAAAAGAAATCCAGGTGCCCGTCACTCAGCAATGTCCAGTCACTTGAATTTGACTTCCTTTCAAATCTATTAGGTAATCCAATATTTCTGAAAAGATTAGCAGGAGATAATGCACACATCTGACTTGGCCAAAATGATATTTTGTTGGTCAGAAAGTCATCTCACAGCCACATCTGAGGTTCAGAGGTGTAAGATTAGACCGCTAGAACACAGTGCAGAACCCAAACCTCAGCCTGCAGACTATCCGTATCCATATCACTGGACCAGTTAAAAACCAGTGATCAGAGGTCAAAAGCAGAGCACACAAGGCTACCCTATTACCTATAGCTGCAAGATCTAATAACTAAATGCATCCAGGGTAAGACAACATGATCATGAATTTTACTGGTAGACCAACTTTAATGGAAACCATTTCAAACAGATTAATGGTAGTTGGTGCTTCTTTTTTCCTAGTTTTATTTGATAAATCAAAATATTTCATTGGAGAACACGCCAAAGAAAAATAATGCAATTAATGTATTCAGGAAGTATAGAAAAGAACTCATAGAATATCAGACATGAAATCACACTTCTCTAAAATTTTAAAAAAAAATAAAAAAACAAAAAACAAAACAAAACAAAAACAAAAACAAAAAAAAAAAAAAAACAAAACAAAAGAAAAAGAAAGACGGAAAACAATAGATAAATTAATTTTCCCAGTCGTCAACCAAACAGTAGACTAAAATATTACTCAACTTGTGAATGAACTCCTCCACATCATGAAAAGATCCCTGTTTCTCTCTCTAAACCAAATCAAACAAAACAGACACACTATCGTATTTCGCTGCACTCTCTCAAACCTACCTTTTCTCTCCAACTGTCAAACCCCCCCTTACACAAGAAGATGGCTGAGAGTCTGTGACCTTGCACATACAACAGCAATTTGGACCAAGTTTATCTGTCAAAAGTGGTCAACTGCAAGGATCTTCTCATACAATGCCGTCCGACAAAGACTCCCACATTATGGGAGTTTATTGCATGAGATCCATGTTTTGGCATTTTTCATAAACTCATAGTTGTAGTTATGGATCGAATATGAAGACAAGGGCCCGCATTGAGCATTGCCGAAGCTGTTAAATTTTTCCAACCGCACACACAAGGCCCGAAACGTACTGAACTACAACTTTTTCCAACGGAATCCAATAAATGTGTATTTTAATGATTTTTTTTAAAAAAAATAAAATAAAATTTAAAGATCATTTAATACAAGTAATGGCCAGTACATGAAACTCAAATCATCGTTGGTCTTAAAAGCTTAACAATTTTTGTTTGTTACTAAATTAAAAGGTTAAAAAAAATTAAAAAATAAAAATTTTAAATTATGACACAAAACTCATTAATAATGATTAATGAAACAATTTATTTGTTAGATCTTGGAGTGGTTTGATCCAAGAATTAGGAGAAGATTTTACTTTTTTTTTTTAAGATTTAATTCACATATTTAGGACTTGGAATGGATTTAGAGGTGAGAGATGGTTGTTAGAGATGGGGAGGATGAGAAGGAAAAAAATTAAAAAAAGGTGGGATTGTTAAGTCATCTATTGAAACTCTTCAATCACCACATATTCTTATTTTCCAATATGACAACCAAATCCATTTTAAAGAGATTAGAAATCAACAAAGGAAAGCAGGGGAAAAAAAAAAGTTGAATGGCCTTTTTTTCTTCATGACAAAGTATCATTAAAAATCCCCAAAGTTGCAAAAAGCTGATAGTATAACACCATTATTTGCCAAATAGCACAAAACCTTCTTCCCTATATCTACTTTCTTAGCTACCAAGCTCTTTTTCAAACCCTTTGCCAAAAAGAAAAAAGGAAATATTTCAGAAATTTATTCTATTCACTTTTCATTTTCACTTGATTTAGACTATACCTTAAATTTGTTGTTTGATATTAGATCATGAGAGGTTATTGTTAAATCTTGTTCTGAATCTAGAGATATGAAATCTATCATTTTATCTCGTTAGTCAAGAAGTTAAACAAATATCCTAAAGAGAATGTATCATTTCAATTTATCCTAAATTTGAATGAATTTTATCTTCTTGGTCAAGAGTACAGAAGTTAAACAAATATCCTAAAGAGAATGTATCATTTCAGTTTATCCTAAATTTGAATGAATTTTATCTTCTTAGTCAAGAGTACATATTATCACATATAAAAGAATTTTCCTTTTTTGGTTGTACTGTAAGGATGTTGTGTGATGTTATTAGTAGAATTTAGAAGCATTATATTCTATTTTAGGGTAAATTAGTCCAACCTCCACTGAGGTTTGCTCAAATTACCCTCAGATTAAACTAGTGGAAAAAATTGGTCAACCTCCCTGGAGGTTTGCTTGAAATAGCTCCAGAACGGGTTTGTAATTGTTATACCATCTCCACCCCTACTCTGGTAGACAAAACACCGACTCCGCCCCATGTACTCCGTTTAATTGCGGGGTAGGCCCGGTTATGACACTTTTATTATGTAGTTATAAAAAAAAAAACTAGCCCAATGTGCTCAAATTGGACTGATAAATAAGTTGGCCCAACTTTTAAATTACTAAGTATTGAATTAACAGGCACTTCCAGTAAAGTAACAAGAGTCTTACAAATATAAAATATATATTTTATACATAAAAATAAATAAATAAATAAAAATAAATTAAAAGATACATATATAATCAGGGCGGGGTCATCAATAAATCCGCCCCCGCCCCAAACCCGCTTCGGGTTTTCAATTATTTTACCATACTCGTCCCACACCCATTTAAGGGCCACTAAATCCACCCCATTAGGGGCGGGGGCGGGGCAGAAACCCGCCGGGTCAGAGGAAATTGCCATCCCTAGATGTTAGGGCACGGGTTTCATCTTTAGATATATAATATGTGGGACTATAACGTTCAAACTTCAGATACGAATATATGTGTATTGTGTGTAAATATATGTGGGTGCATGTATATATTCAATTTCAGTCATTTGGGTGGTTCCGTTTGGTGATTGGTGTCACTAGGGCAGTTTTAGGGAGAAGGAAGAGAGGGTGGCGGTGGTGAGAGAGAGTGAGTGGAGAGGGCGCTAGCGGTGGCAAAGAAAGAAGGATGGTGACGGTTGAGATAGGTGGGGCTAGGGGGTGGTGGATAGAAAGAATGGATCAGTTGGCAGTGACATTGGGGGTAATTTAGCTTTTATAAGAGTTGGTCATTTACATTAGTTAAATATAATAAATTACGTACGTTGTTTAGAGATAGTTTGGTAAATTCAAGCTTGCAATTAATTCTTCTAACAGTGGATAACTATGACGGGTGTCACAGTTATTTTTAAAATGTTTAATCTGGGAGTAATTTGGACAAACATCAAGGGAGGTCGCAGTAATTTACCCTCTATTTTTTTTATTTTAAAATTTATGATTATTAGTATAGTGTAATAAATTCTTACATTAATATTTAGAATATGTAATTGAACATAAACTATATATAGCTATACCATTTTAATTTTATTTTTTATTCACTGTTTGAATTATTCTAGTTTATTTTATCGACGTTATATAGATTAAAAGAAATTGAATACAAAAGTCAATAAGCATATTAAATTAACAATAGATTTGTCTTGCAAGTCATACAGTGCAATCATTACGTTATGGTAGTCATTAGCATTACATAAAACCTTATTTTTTCCTACCCAACAAAACCCCTCCATCTGGTCCCACATACAGTTCTGTTTATAAAAAAAATAAAATAAAAATGTCTACTGGCCTCCATGACAAGGGAAGAAAAAAAAGAGAACACGATTTACATGGACGGAAAATGATTTATAAACCGAGCAAACTCTCCGATAACCAAGGACAAGGTCGAGGGTTCAAGTCCCTATGGGGGTAAGTGGGTGTGTTTCTTGCCAAGGTCAAAAAATAAAAGAAAAAAGGACCAAGGTTCCGATGCATTAATAAAGGACCCACACATAGAATGATTTATAAACTAAGCAAACTTGCCGTTTCCAAGGACCGAAGGTCTCCTAGTCATTTGATGCTTTAACGATGCAGATGACATCATATGATATAATGAAACACCTTTTGCTCAAAATGACAAAAATACACTTCACTTTTCCTGACATGGACTATTCACCATTGCATCAATTTTTGTTCGTTTTTTAACTACATAATATTTTTTTTAGCAAGTGAAATAAATGAAAATACCCAACAAAACGAAACATACGCCCTTCGAATAAAAAAATATGCAATCACCATATAGAATATATTCACAGCCCTGTTGACCTCCTTTAGGCCATGGGGAAAAATAAAACAAGTGGGATTTCTACTGTATTCAATTCAAATATACATTAGCACCCAGAGGTACAAATTCCTGTCACCATAATTGCAGAGCAGCCCTCGATCTAATTGAAAGATCAAGGTCATGTTGAATGCATACCTTAAAAGACCTCAATGTTTGAACATTTATCCATTTGTTTCTGATAATAATCCAATATATGCTCAAATTCTTCAACACCACCGCCGACAGTGAAAACTCTCCTCCAATTCCAATATCCAATCTAAATTCATGTTCTTCACTACTAATAACCGTAGTGACAATTATGCTTCGATTCCAGTAATCAACTTACTAATCAATTCCTAAATTTATGGCCTACTTTTAACACCACTTTCACATCTTAATGCTGTTACCTCAAAAGATAAAACCATTACCAATCAATCTTTCACTAATGACTATCATTTGAACTTTGGTTGGAGAAAATATTAAAACCTCCCAACATTCTGACAGGTAAAATTATTTTAAAACTGACTAAATTAAAACTTGGTTCAACAACATTATAAACTGTTATAAGTTATAAAAACCATAGCCAACTAATATATATATATATATATATATATATATATATGGATAGCCCTCAAAATAAACCACAATGAAAAGTATCAGTATAGCTACCACCTATCACAGAACTGAAGGAAAGGAATTTAGGGCAAATTGCGTAAATCCCCCTTCAACTTTCAATTCATGGCAAGAAACCCCCTGCAGAAAAAAGTTGACATAAAACCCAGCTAACTATTCAATTTGTTGCAAAGTGATGTTATTATGACGAAAATGACCCTTGATATAAATTCAAGGAAAAGATTTCTCTTAAAATAAAATTAAAATTAATACAAATAACTCATTCGACATAGTGGTATTAAAATTTTTTTGAAACTTTTAAAATGGTGCGCCCATAAGAAAATGATAATGCCTCGGAATAATTTTTAGCTCTCTTTAAGTTTTTTAGCCTAAAATGAAAATCATTTTAAGACCACTAAATTTTCTTAAATTTACATTGAATGGCTTTTTCGTATTATACTTTCACTTTAATTGTGTGCATTTTATAAAATTTTCTTAAAGACTTATCAAAAAAAAAAAAAAAATTCTTAAAGTTCTATTTTAAAAAATTACAAAGGAAACAAATTAAAAAATATATTTTTTAATTTATTTTAAAGGGCATTTGCGTCATTATAACATCACTTTGCAATAAATTAGATACCTAGGGGTGTTTTATGTCAACTTTTTTCTTTAGGGGGGTTTGTTGCCAAAAATTAAAAGCAAAGGGAGGTTTTATGCAATTTGTCCAGGAATTTAGTCAGAAAAAAGGATAGTACCGCTAATTGACAATGAATAAAATATATGTTCCTTCGTAGTGTAGGAAAGGTTTTCAACACATTCAAGCCAACACATTAGCAATCTCTTCAAATTCCACAAAGCAAGCACTCACAAACAACATAAATGGATATAGCAGCATAACAACCAACATGTTTCAATCTATAAGCAATATCTTCACGAACCATCAAATTAGCAATTCCTGCTTCGGCAAGAAATGGCATAAGCATGTGTGCAATGTGCATATGAAGTGCATATGAAAAAATACACGGTAGACATTTCAAAAATGTTGTATCACACTCTAATAGTAAAGACTTGTTCAAGAAGGAAGACAAGTCATTTCAGTCAGATCTGAACTGAAAAAATATAAAATAAAATAAAAAAGAGTATCTAGAACACAAGAAACATTCACACTTGGTTAAGTATCATGCAAGTAAATGACAATAGTACATAAATATTCTTCAAGACAAGATACGGTATATAAAATGCGAGTCTAGCGTAAAAAGCAGTTGTCATCATAGTACTATATATCCCCTGAATACATCTTAGGGTACATACCATAAAAGCACAACACATACATCATTAAAATACTTTTCTAGTTCTAATAAATTAAACATTATAACATTTTCTTGAAAGTATAATAGTAATGTCTACATTCTAAGAGATAATTTCTGATGAAAAGAAAGCAATTAAAGGCCTCTGTAGTTTCATTTGCTTGGCTTTATGGACGCCTAATTTTACTTCTTCCTTCATACTTGGAAGACAAAAAAAAATTTAATAATTGATGCCAGATTTGGAGGGATTTATAACCAAAAAGATGTCCCAGAATAGTAAACATACCTTGTTATATTATAGACTACAGTTATAACTACAACTACTGCAACAACAAATTTTCTATTTTCATTTTTTTTCTAGGGAAATCAAAGGAGTTTGTATCTAAATGAACTTCAACAGACTCTGATTTCCTAAGTTGGACATGAAAAAGAGAATCTTTGACAACAAAAAGTCGTAAAACATGTACCTTGCAGCACATCTGTTTTTGCCCCAAAAATACATAATATATCATGCATAAGTTTTACCATTTCTTTCACTTTACTTTAAATATTCATCCTGAAATATATTATACTATAGATGTAAAAATTAATCAAAATGACGTAATCATATAGTCTACAAGATTCATGAATTGAAAAACATGCACACCTATTTCTAATTAGCCTTAGATAATATATACCAACAAGATAAATAAATCAGAGTTGATTTATAGCTAGAAAAACCTCTCATGTCATGCATATCGATCAATAATTATTTTCAGCTATCATACTAGAGTGTTAATTTCCATTATTCCGTTATGAATTCCATTAACCTGAGTTGCTTCCCAGCCCAAATGTTCTATGGGTATAATATTAAATTTAAAACCTTTAAATAATATAATTATAATCACTCACATGGCATAGATAAAACATAGTGAGCTGGAAGGAGGCAAGCAACTAAACAAACAAAAGAAAGAAAAAATAGGAGATACAATCTAGTTTGGTTGAATAAGCCATAAAATATTTTTTTGGGTGCACGTTATTGTGCATGAATGTAGATATGAAACATATGTACACATATAATTTGATGACTACTTTCCTAGTCCCATACTCATTCCTTCAATACAAATTTTCTATATGTTGTTAGAATTTTTTTAAATATATATGGTCAAACTTTATATACATATTTTTTAATAACCTTTCAATTGCATTTTTCACAATATTAAAAGAAATTCTTACTAAAAGCTCAAGGTTTACTGGTCACATGTTAACATATTTCAAGAAGTGACAGCCATGCATCCAAAACTAAGAATTTCATATTCCAATCATATACATGTCTGAAATCTTCAAAAAGTGTCCATGCCTGAAACATACCCAGACACAAACACAGCTCCTTGTTAGAAATGCCTGTGCTTCTTACAAAGATGCAATGAATTTATCCAAATATGTTAGGGTCATTCCACACACTGTAATTATATATTTATATATATATATATAAAGAGTTTCAAATTGGTCAAGGTAAGAAATAATCTTTTAATAGATTTCATTATGAAACGCTTTCAAAATATTTTTAATTTGATCCCTCTTGACAAAGTTGATAAATTATTGATTTATAAGTGGGACAACCATCTGAAAAAACAGGTAAAGCAAAAGATAGAGACGGACAGACAGACAGCTCTAAGTTTACATAGATAAAAAATGATATTAGATGTTTATATGCTCCAAAATTCAAAAGCAAAAAATGAAGTTTAACTGAGAAGAATATAATGAAGGTACAAAGTAACACGAACCACTGGATGAAGAGCCTGACTCACTACTGGAACTGCTTGAACTACCGCATTTACTGTTTCTAAGGGCTGCATCTTTCTCTATCTCTACTGGAGGGTAACTTGAGATAGCAGGATCATTTCCACCAATATCTACATCCTCATCAATGGGATCGTTGGCTGAAAGGATAAAAAGTCCCCCCAAAATAAATAAAAGAAAAGGATATCAATTCCACATCAAAGTCTATGGAGTGACACATCCCTTCACTAGTTCAGCATTTGAATAAAATGAATCTAATTAAACAGAAAACAACCTTTACATGGTTGTACTGATAAATTGCTGAACCCCGATTCATTATGAAGCTGCACAAAGAAAAATTGCTCCAATAAGATATAGCACGGAAAAAAAAAAAATCACATACGTACACACCTACACGCACGAACAAGCAAACACACAGGGGGGAGATATATATATATATATATATATATATATAGAGAGAGAGAGAGAGAGAGAGAGAGAGAGAGAACAGGGTACCTCTATCTCACATGGTTCAGCTTTTCCCTGCTTTTTCTGCTTCTCTAGCAGATAGTCATCTAAAAGCTTCCGCAACCTGAATAAAGTTTCATCACTCAGAGCATCAATATCAATCTCAATCTCATCTTCACCTGCTTGATTTGCACTAAAACTTTGCTCTTTCAGAAAATCTATAATGTTTTCTGGCAATTCTGCCAATAAATCCTCTAATTCTGTGCTTAGTTTATGCTTCTCGGAATCAGACATAACCTGCTTTACAGGTTCTGCCTTAACCTTATTGTAAACCGATGCTACTTTCTTCTTCTTAGAGGGAGGCATTTGAGTAGCACGTTCAGTTTGTATGTGACTGGTTGATCTTGATGGCACCTGAGCTTCTATTGTCGCAGGAAGCTTCTTCTCAAGAGGCTTCCATCTCACTTCAAAGAATTTTCTGAGTGTGTCAGCCATGATATGGACATCATTTCCAGGTGGGTTGTAAGTCATTGCATTTGAGAAAGTGAGCCTCACGTCTGCCGCAAAATCCAGTGGACTCAAATATTTACCTGTTATTAACTTGCTTTTCACAGTCCCCAAATCCATTGGATTCTTAATAACATTGAAATAATCTGGAATGTTCAACTTAACCACATCTACGGGAGTGTTAAATACCCAACCAAACTGATGTGACATCAATCGATTCAACAATGTTTCACACTGCTTCATCAACATAGCATTTGAAGTACTTGATGCCACCGCCTGCTTCACTGATTCAAACTGCCCTGCCACAGGCCGCTTTGTGCGGGGCACACTCCGTCCCGGTGGAGCCCGTTTCTTCCCTTGTGGAACCGACACTGACATTTGGAAGCTCTCTAATGGCGGTCTCTTTTGTCCATCACTGCAACTACGAATATCACTAGAGGGTGACAAAACTATGACATCGGAACTCATAGAGTCAATTTTCTTCTGAAGAATCCTAACTTGTTCAAGTTCACTTTTCAATCTCAACTCTAAATCCTTCCTATCAGACCGCGACATCTTTGACAGTGATAAAGATTGAACAGGGACACCGTATCCATCGAAACTATCCACATTCAAACTAATGCATTTCCTTTTGGGGGCACACGAATCCTCTGATGCAGTCATCTCGGTGTCAACTCGTCCTGAACTACCAAAACCTTCTGATTCCGCCATAGTTTCAACAGCATGACGATAATCCGGAACAAATCCAGAAACATGCCCCCTAGAATACTTCCTTGTTTTCCCTGTCATTTCAGTAAGCCCTTTCTTCAAGCAAGTTTTTGATTCCCTCTGTCCAGTGTAATCTATGGGAATAGTTGGTGCCATAAGATGAACCCCCAATATCTGCACATATCAACTTTTGGGCTTAAGATTCAGTCTCCACTGTCTATTTTAAAATCCAACTTCAAAACTACAGTCTAAAGCCAAATATCTAGCTTTCGTTTTGGAATCAAATTTACTTCATGCGTTTCTGTCACGAGCAATTCTTCAATTTCGTTGAAGTCCAAAAACGTTATAATCAACAACAAAAACAGTTACCAAGAACCCAGTTTCCCCTAGTTTCCAAAAAATTCAAACTCAAAAATTGATGTTTGTTCACCAGCAAAACCAATTGACCATGACAAGCACTCAAAAATAAAATAACGAAAACAATAATCGAATGCGGACTCCAATAAAGTAATCACTGACTTAATCCCAGCAACAAAATATTCGACGAATTTTTCACAACCCAGAAGACAATAGCAAACCCTAAATATGTTCTCTTTTTGGCTCCAGACACTTATTTTGATTCGGATCAAAAACTCTTCGGCACAAAGAATGAAGAAAAGAATAATCCAAGGAAAATTGAATCCTACACTGAGTAGTGACAAAACTAAACCTAGATCGAACTATTGAGAGACCAAGACACGAAGCTTAAAAGAAATATGTTTCAAAAACTTGGATACCCTAGAAAAGCTTCACACGAGTCCAATTCAAAACCTGGATCTCCTTGGCAAAGCCGTGGGCGTGGATGTGGAGGCGTTTGAAACCCTAGAAATCCTTCTTCAACAATCTCCGCGCGATAGATGTAGAGAGAGAGAGAGAGAGTTGTAGAGAGAGAAAACGAAATACTTTGCGATCGCTAGGCTTGTTTGCTCCTCTACTTAAAGGCGAGTTGCCTCCTCGCCCGCCGCTATTCGATCGATCCCAACCGTTAATCAAAACAATTTATAAGTTAACGGCTGATGCTTGTTTCTCCTTTCCTACCCTCAGATCTAGATCTGACGGTGCTTAATTTTCACGATCACGCTGTTTGATTAATTAAAAACAAAGCTAATACCACTATATAATTCAATCACTAAAGTTAAAACTAGAAAATATCAAAACCTACCCTCTCGCGTATATAATAAAACATACTCGCTTTTTTGAAGTTTTTAATAAGGAAAAGTCTTGTCTATTTATGGGTGAGTAAGTCATCTCTGCTTACCATTCTAAAAAGTAATAAATAAATAAAAATCAGTGAGGTAGCTGAATTTATTTCAAAAAAATTTCATTGTCCTTATTTATTACTTTCTTGATTTTATAATTAGAAATTATTTGTACATTTGTAATTGAACCACATCAGTTACAAGTATGATGACCTACTCATGGATAAATAAGCAAGTTTTTTTCTTATTAAGTAAGACATAACAAAGAACAATACTTAGAGATAGTGATTTGATTATCATTTATAATTTAATAATTAAAATAGAATGTGTTAATTTATTATTGGTTTACATTAGTAGTCAGTATGATGTAAACCTAAGTATTATTCACAAACAAATATCATGTACTCAACATACTCATTAAGTATTTCAATTAAACGTTTAATTCATAAGGAATAAAGTTTTTGTACAATTAAGTATCTTTTGATCTATCTATTGCTTAAAATTATTAATGATTTAATTCAAACAGAAATTTATCTATCTTATTATGGTATATGTCACTTATTACACCATGTTAAATGCTTAAAATTCAAAACTATATAAAATTATATCTTTTGTTTAATTATCACTTAATATATAAAAATATATCTTTTATTCTTAAAATCTTCAGTACTTGAAAGCTGCTCATGCTAAAAATTGAATTTTTTTTAAACAAAGACTTTTAAATAGATGACAATGTTTGAGGGTCTTGTCGAATTTTTTACTTTTTTATTATTGTTATTAGTTTTTCTTTTTTTCCAACATTAGATCTATATGTGGTATGTTTTATACGTGTGGGGTGTATAGGCCGAGTATGCTTAATTAGGTACTCTCACGAAGGTGGATTGACAACGTGTCGGTCTTGACTTTTAACGCCATGTGACGCGGCAAGTGAGCTACTTCCTTTCCCACGTGCTTGATTGCGAAGCTGGTCTATGCTTCTTGGTTGGCTGTGTGTCAAATAAATTGTATGCCAAGATATCACTCTTAAAAAAGGAATGGTCACATTAGTTTTCTCCTATATCCCAAATTTACTCATAAAAAAATTTCAAATATCCCTAATTTACTTGCCAAAAAAATTTCAAATATAGAGTTGAAGTAGCACTCATTTAAAATACAGTTAAAAGAGACAACTAAAAATTAATGAATTAGTCTGAATGAGAAAATTGAAATGGTTAGAAAGGTAGTAATAGACTCTGGTTCAAATTTTATGCATGCTAGTTCATTTGGAACTTTCCTTTTATGACAATCTTCATACATCTTTCATTCATTCGTTAATATAAATGTCATTTTGGTTAAATGAATATGAGATTTTTGAAAAACTAATTTTACTTCGTGATGTCATGTTGTTAGTCTCCTTTATAACATGAATATGGCATTTTGAAAACATGACTATTTCATATAATAAGAACAGACTTCACCCTATATATATATAATATTAGCTCCGGGTTATACCAAATTGAATAGAGCAAATTTAAGTACTAAAATTTGTTTTAAAATAGCACAAAAAAAGAAAAAAAAAATTCCTTCAAGTTTCTCAAATTTGAATTCGAAACTGTTAATTTGGTAAATAATCCCTTATTAACAAATTGTCCTTTGTTTCTTTTTTTCTTTAAATTGGATGGAAATGGACTATATTTTAACCAATATTACTTTTTCTTATGGACAAAATTATTCCCTACAAAAATATATGGAGTTAGGGACTCAAACAGGGGGAAATGAGTTTGAACTATTTCAATAGTAGATATTTCTGAAGTCTTAGATTTAAATTTGGATACTTTTGTTATTTCAAATTTATTTTATAATTTTATTTCTTAGTTCTCCTTTTTTAAGGTTAGTTGTGTAAATTAAAAAATTACCAACATTTGAATGATACATGAAAAAATTATCAACTACTTTCAGGATTAATCGCAGAAGATAATACCTTCTTCTTCAACTTCACAACCGAAGGAATCAAATTATGAAGAAAGTAATAAAAAATAATTCAAAATAATAGTGATACTTTTTGAACTCAAAATAAAATTATTTTGAATGAAAAGAAAAGGAAAGAAATATTAGCATTTGTAGCATCTCTGTTCTAATCAGGGACGGAGTCAATGAAGGCCTAGGGGGGCGCGTGCCCCCCTGAGTTGGCTAGCAACTTATTACATATGTGGTAATTTTTTAAAAAAATTCCATATATATGAAAAAATTTATATAGTAGCCCCCCTCAAATTTATAATTTTTAAAATTATATTCTTATTTTTTCTTTATTTTCTCTTTTACTCTTCACATTCCTTAAATTTCCTTAGTAGAAAAAGTCAAATTTTTCTTCCTCAATTGAAACTTTTTAACTATTTCCTATTAAAGTTCTTTCATTCTTTCCTTTGATATGTTAATAAATTTCTTTTTCTTTGTCTTTTTTAATTTTATAGTTGTTATATATATATATATATACTCTGTATTGTTTTTTTTTTTTTTGACAGTGTGTCCCCCCTCACTTGAAATCCTGGCTCCGTCACCGATTCTAATCAATGGAATTATCAAAAGAGCTAGAAAGAGGAATGGTAATGAACCATCATCACTCAATATGGGGGAGTAGGGATATATACGGTTCAAATTAGATTAGTTTAGGAATATTTTGGAATCAACTAGGTCTTAAAAAATTTATAAAAATTAAAACCAAACCGGACTATAGAAGCAATGGAACCGAATCGGGAGAGAATGGGTGTTCGATGCTGGTTTTCGGAATGGATGCTGCTAACTGCCAAGTCTCAATTTATCATTTTGTAAGCCTATATAAGGCCTTTTGGTTTGGGCCAACTTGGCCCATTACTTTAGTTTTACTAAATTACTTCAATGAGTTGATTTGGGCTCAAAACCAGGTCTTTTGAAGGTTAAAACCAACTCAAAAACTGAAAGTAAAAAAAAAAAAAAAAAATTCTGAAAAACCAAACAAGAAATCAAACTTTAATTACTTACAAATATGTTTGGATATGTCATTAGATGCTTTTTTGTTAAACTGAAAATTAGATTTTTGGTGATGTTGTGTTTGGAATAACTGAATGGGCATCTTGGAGAAAATTTACTTTAAATTTTGAATTAAATTTTTTTAATTTTCAAATCTAAAGTACTAATTTGGTACTTCCAAATATAAAATTAAAACATTTATATTTCATCACAAATATATGGAAGTGTGTGTTACTTTTCTTCCAATTAATGGGTTGGTTTAATGGTTAGAGAAAAACGTTGGCATAGGTTTATAGGAAATGATAAGACCTCTAAGCTCATTAGTATGTAATTCCTTATTTTATAATATCATAATTATTTTTTTCACTACATTATTTTGTTTTTTTTTTCGAGTTATTTACTTTATCTAATTTTTTTTTTTAGTAAAAAAGATAATTTATTCAATAAAAACAACATGTATCAGAAATAAAATAAAATATTACTAGGCTTAAAGGGTTCAAGAAATAAAAAAGAAAAATGTGATCCAGGTTAGGAAGCTTGTTTTTTTCCTATCATATTTTTACCTTGCAAATATGATAGTCTAATTGTTGGCTTTTTATTGTCAAAGGTAATAGCTTAGTGGTAATTTTTTACCTCTCAAAAAAAATGATGAAGGTTCAAGTTCACGTACGGACAAATGAATACCTGAATTTCTTGTCATTGAATAAATAAATAAATAAAACAAAAATCAAAGCCTATAATTAATTAATATGAGCCAAGTTTAGTGTTTAGAAGGAAAACTTTGTCGGAGCGGCTTTTTGTGCCTGTTACTGAACATCTCCACATTCTTCTCTTCTTCTTCTTCTTCTTTTTTGGTAGCAAATATCAAATGTTGGAAATATAATTAGTAGAATTGGAACAAGTTGACCCAAGTAAAGATGTGCTGTGGTGTCCTAAAGTCTTTTTTTTTTTTTTTTTCGTAAAAAAGTGATAGGTATTATTATATCAGCATATTGTTAGATTTAAAAAATGAAATAAGAATACAAAGTAGCTTAAAATGAGGATGATGACAAGAAGAAATAGACTCACTAATGAAAGAAAATAATTGGAGTAACATGGCGCACTTGGGGGTGCACGTTGGGGGTAGGTTAACCTCCTTTTATAATGTCGTGGAACTCTCATTGTGCCCCATATAATGTACCCATAGGAGCAGGTTAACCTATTAGTGATAATTAGTGGGTAGATTTAGGTTTCATGAAGACCATATATAATCCGAAAAGAAAAGAAAACTAATCCTTAATTCCTTAGATAAAGTAAAAGATAATGAGGGTTATGAAAATTAACACGTACTAAAATTATTAAATATTATTTTAAAAGTTAAATATCATATGTTAATGCAAAAATTTTCGCGACCCGGAACGACGGCGTTTACCTGCAAAACAATAGAGATTATGTCACATCAGATGGCACTGGTAGAGTGCCGGTTGAAGACCTTCCGACGATCAAGTCAGTACTTGGAATCATATAACAGAAAAGCCATTTTCTATTAAATGTTCATGAAAATTTTCCTCATACCTCATTAATTGTTACACGATGTATTTATTGTCGTCCTCAAGATCACGTTGGTTGCACAAATGTTAATATTTGAACGAGATGGATCGTGATCTTCATTCACTAACTGAATGACAGAGTCAGTCATATTTACCTTCTGCATTATAGGATTCAAAAAACAAACGCGGTTATATTGGT